TCAGTGGGTTGAGCATCACCCCACAAAGTGAAAGGTCGCCAGTTTGATTTCCGGTCAGGACACATACCTGGGTTGCGGATTTGGTCTCTGGTCAGGGCCCATGCAAGCTGCAGCGGATCAGTGTTTCTCTCTCACATTGTTGTTTCCCTCTCCCCTCCCTTCCCCCTCTCTAAAAATAAATAAATAAAACCTTAAAAAAAAAAAAACCAAAAAACAACAACCCAACAATGACAGAAAGTGCTGACTAAATGATAGTTCTACTACTTTGTCATAATCACAAAAACCTTCCTAAAAGAGGATATTATATTAGACTGGCCGAAAAGTCCATTTAGTTTTTTCCATAAAATTACAGATACATTTTTCATTTTCACCAATAACTTTATTGATGTGGACATTTTGCGTGTGTTGGCTATTTCCCTTTATTGGCTTCTAGGCGGGTAGAGGCCAGAGGTGCTGCTAAACATCTTCCAGTGCATAAGACAGCCCCACAGCAAAGAATAATTTGGCCAAAATGTCAACAGTACCAAGAAACTTCACAAACCACTTTTGACTTGTTAAATCCATCACAGCTCCATACACTGCACAAATCTTTTATTGTGTTTCACTTGCCTTTTTACCTTTCTTAAAATAATAAAGCATACTATGTTGCCTATCTTCTTCCATCTTCAAATCTACCCATTTGACTATACAAAAATTCACCAATTTTGGTGAGGTTTTTTTTTTTTTTTTAAATGCACACTGATAGCCCTGGCTGGTGTGGCTCAGTGGGTTGAGCGCTGGACTGCAAAGCAAAGAGTCACTGGTTGGATTCCCAGCCAGGGCACATGCCTGGGTTGCAGTCCAGGTCCCCAGTTGGGGGTGCATGAGAGGCAACCACACACACATTGATGTTTCTCTCCCTCTCTTTCTCCCTCCCTTCCCCCCTCTCTAAAAATAAATAAATAAAATCTTTAAAATAAATAAATAAAAGCAAGCTGACATAAAAATTGTCACAACACAATCTAACAAAATTGTTTTGAATGAAGTTAAAGACAACCAAACACAACTAAGCACCATACGGGTAAAAAATGTAATGATTTTTTGGCCAACCCAGTACCATCAGGAATGTGACCACAATGAAGTTATGTTGGAACCACCTGTTTTTTGGGGGGAGAGTGGAAAGTCAGCAAATCCAACAACTTTGTCTTCAGGCTGCTTTGTTTGTCCTATATGTGTACTCTATACCAATCCCTTATGACTGCTATCTTCCTTGGCTTCTTTGATGATGTGCACTCAGGGTTCTCTGTGCTTCCTACTGTCCTCTTCCGTAACTTGCCCTCAGGCTCCATTCCCACATTTTTCTTCATCTTGTCCACTCTTAAGGTTTCAATTAGTCTCTCTATGGAGATGACCCTATAACCTCTCAGTCATATTCAGAAAGTGTTTCAAATTTCACTTACCCAAAGTAGATATTTCTTATCTTAATTAGATGGTCAAAAATATAGCTTCAATTTTTCTTCTCATATCCTTCTTTCTTTTTTTCCCTGATTCTTATACATCGTACCAGTCCTCAGGTTCCTCTTCCTTTGCCTATCTCCTCTTAAAGTGTTTACTGGAGTTACCTCTTCAGTCTTTCTATTCTACCTCAGTGGCTCTTAACCTTTCAGGGATAATGGACCCCTTTGAAACCCTACTGAATGCTATGGATTGTTTACTAAACAGATGAGCATACGCAACATCAGCATGTAATTTCACCTAACCAATGACCTCAAATAAGAATCTGTGCTCATCCATGTAAGACTAAACTTTATACAAATTTTCATCTTCAGGATCTACTTCCCTGTTATAAATTTCAAGATGCCTTATGGATATAGCCTAAATGGCCAATGGACACCACAAACTTAATCCAAACCAGAGCTCATTATTTCTTAACAAACCTGCTCTACCTATGGTATTCCTTCTTGGATAATAGCACCACCATCCCCCCTACCCCACCCCCAGGAATTAACAACCATGCCCAAACCCTGTTAATCACCATTTGTCTCAGAAATCCCTCTCAAATCCAAATCCCACCTCTATTCTGCTCTTACCCTTTAAGATCTCATCATCACGTGCTTCTTCTCATACGTACCATGATTAAGTCTTTCTTCCCCTCTTCTAAAAAGAGCCCGTTAACTAATTCAATCTTTGTAAGATCACTCATCTCCATCTGCTACCTTCCAAGGCATGACATTATTTTATCTCTAGATAGTTACAATACCCTAAATGATTCCCCCATCTCAGTTTTTTTATTATTTCCAACACTGCTCATTTTCCTCTAAAATTCTAAAATTGATGATGTGACTGCCTCTTTTCAAAAACACTGATGCTTCTCACTGCTCAAATATACAAACCCAGTTTTGCCTTTGGAGTCCTCTACAATTTGCCACCTTAGTACTCATCCAGGATTAGATTCCACTGCTCACACCGCTGCTCATGCTTATTATCTATCAAAACCACACCCACTCTTAAAGGCCCAATTCAAACTCTGTTCACTCTTCATCTTTGTATTCTCCACATAATGATTAAGAAAGAGCTCTGCACAAAAAAGATAAAATTCCTAATGAACTGATTCAGGAAATTAAAAAAAAAATGCTTGAAAATCCTTAAAACTTTCTGGAACCATTACTTTAAAAAAATCGCTATTTAAGTATTAACATTTCAATCAAGAAGCCCTCCATAAACTCAGCACTGCTAATCAACATTTATTAAATGCGAATAATGTGCAACACAGATTAAAGTCTTACTAGTGTCTATCATCAACCTGAAGGTAAAAAAGTACATTCTGGATGCAGGATTTTAATTTCAATTTTATTTGTATTTATATTTTACTTAGCAAAGCAAAATTACAGTAAGAAAACTTGGCATTTCACCTGATAGAGACTTCGAAGTCTCTACAGCAGTGAGAGAAATAGTTAATAGACCTAAATCATTTTCAGACTAGTAAAAATCCTATTAGATGGGGGAAGGAGGAAACCAGGGAGAATAAGAATAACCCTTTCAATTGAAGTGTCCTAAACTTAGCCCTGGCCACAGAGCTCAGCTGGTTAGAGCATTGTTCTGATACACCAAGCTTGAAGGTTCAATCCCCAGTTAGGGAGCATACAAGAATCAACCAATGAATGCATAAATAACTGAAACAACAAATTGATGTTTCTCTCCCCTCTCCTTTCTCTCTAAAACAAGTAAGTAAATAAATGCCCTAAAGATTTTTTTCAGCCTTTATTTTAGAAACTGATTTTTTAAAAAAGGGCCAAAGGACATGATGGGCAATTCTGAGCCTCTCATAATGAGACGTTTACTGGCATACTTACCAGCAGGTGCAACAGCAATCGGATCTATGACAGAGAAGTAATGCTGCAGGCAGTACTTTCTGTTACTTTCTAGTGCCTTATTTCTTTTAAGCCTGACCTGATTTAATTTCCCATTTGGTTCCTCTGAGTTCATGTTAATTTCCACAGTTTTATACTGTGAAGAATTTTGCTTCTGAAGAGAATGAGAATATTCAGTTCTGAATTAAAATCTTTTTTTTTTTTTGTAAGAATTTTAACCCTGGCTGGTATGGCTCAGAGGATTGAGTGCTGGCCTGTGGACCAAAGGGTCACTGGTTCTATTTTAACCAATCTGTCTAGCTAACATACTTGGTAAAACATGCCCTCTGTGACATTTCTAAAATTATGATCATTCAAATTTGAATGAATTAGATTTGCTTATAACAGTAGAATATGCTGAAATTCTAAAATTATTAGTAATACCTCTTAAGGATAGCAGGGTATAATGGAAAGAGCTGCAACATTTGAAACAGGATCTCAGTCTGCATCTCAAGTCTGACTCTCTGGTTGTATGACCTTAAGAATTGGATTCACATCAAAATACTTTCTCACCTGATAGAGGAATATTACCACCTTTCCCTCCTTCGAGGTGGCTGTTCCAATAAAATAATGTACGGCATGTGCCATGAAATGTTTAATAAATATTAGCTTGCTTCCTTTCTTCAAAACACAGTCGTAAGAAGTCTTAGCTGTCAGGGAGTCTACACTTCCACAAGCCTTCATCAGCATAAAACACTACAGTTAGTTCGTTCTATTAAAAACAATACCGTCACCCTTATTCCACCCCTTCTGAGGGATCTGGATTAAGATGAGGGAGCCTGCATATGACTCTGCAAGAACTACATTAGGGCTGCATATATATTTGCCATTAAAACATTAACAGTAAAAGTCCACAGTAATTGTGCTATAACGTGTGGATGCGTTTATGCTGGTAAGAGAACTCACTTGGGGGTAAAGAGAAAGAGTCCTATTAGGCCCAACTCCAAAGGACTCTTTAATAAGTCAAGAAAGCGATGCTGACTTACCTTTCCCGAAACGTCAACAGTAGGATATTAAAATCCATTTAAAAACTTCAAGATTGAAATATCCACAACTAACCCTGATGCCGCTAATGCTTTTTAGGAAGCATGCGCAGGAGAGCACCATTAGCACCACTGAAGATATTTAATGAAAGCCGTTCACAGAAAACACAGGCGAACAAGAAAACAGATTATCATCTCGATGTTCTGCACACAAGCCGAGGCAAACAGACAAGCATCTGGAGGAATTCCCGGCTTTAAAATCCGGATGTCAAAAAGAAGACCAACATGCTGGCAAATTGGAAGTCTGGGGTTGGGTCCCGTTCCCTTCCTGAGATCCTGGCTCTAAAATCCGCGATTGCAACAGGGTCCGGAGGACCCGAGGTCCTGGCCTCCGCCCCCCCGGCGCCTTTCTCAGAGGCCAGCGAGGGCACGCCCGCGAAGTGCCGCGAGCAACACCCAAACCTCGACTGACCCCAAGGCACCGCCCGAAGCCCAGGGCGCGGACCGCGACGAGGCTCGGGGTTGGGGGCGCGGGGGCGCGGTGGCGCGGGAGGCCCAGACGCGGACGAGGCCGCAGCTGCGTCCACTGCGGCCCCGAGAGGTGGGGTGGGCGGATGTGGACACTCACCACACCATGCCGTAGGCGCCCTCGCCAATGTAAGAGAGGTTGGTGTAGCGCGGCCCCACGTCGAACACCTGCCCGCGGACCATCTCAGGGCCCGCGCCCGCCGCTGCCGCCGCCGCCATGTTGGCTGCCCGGCCGCCGCCGCCGCCGCCTCCGCCGCGCTGGGCTTGACGCTCTGCGACCGTCCCTCGGCCCACGCCGCGCCTCCCGGAGGGACCGCGCCGCCGCCGGTGCAGCTGCCGCCGTTGACCAAGAAGGAGCAAGGGGGTCGCGCTCAGGAATGCTGCAGAGACCGAAGGCAGCTCGAACCGACTGCCTGCCTGCCTGACTGACGGGCGGGCCGGCGGGCGGAGGGAGGGGCACACGCTGAGGAGGGCGCTTGGGCGGGGCCAAGAAACGTGCATGAGGATTGGCTCTCCGCGACTTGGGGGCGGGGATGTGCTGGCCGGCGGAAGCGGAGAACTCTGGGCAGAGAGGAGCGGCTGCTGCGGCGGCGGCGGCACCGCCCTACGCGGTCACGTGTGTTGGTGGAGTCTGGGGGTGGCTGTTGAGATGCGAGAAGTCTGCTAGGCGTTGGGAAGGAACCGCCAGGACTGAGACTGAGGGACAGCCAGGGGCAGGGAAGTTCCCGGAGTGTGGTCATGACTAAGCCAGAGAGCGACCGGGTACAGCACGAGAGGGACTGCGAAGTTGCGCATACTAGCTGCGGACCTGGGGCAGGCCTGGAGAGCGTGTGGCTCACCACACAAGCTTAAGAGCTCCTGACACCAGAACTAAAACTAAAAGGCCTGACCAAGACCGAGAAAAATATTTACATACTGAGAAAGTGTGGAACACAAAAGGTGGGAGGATCCTCTAATCAGACAGAGGTTCCTTCAACAAGTGTGTTGAGTACCTACCAAGTTCCTGGACATACACCTCATAGAAGTTGCATTATGGAGTGAGGAGATGGGCAAATCAATATGTGTAATGCTCAAGTTTTGACAAGTACTGCGAAGAACTATGAAGCTGAGTAAGAGATTAGGGAGTACAGTGAGCCCTCAACATTGTGGAAAGTCTCTGAGCCCTCAAGTGAAAGGGGTATAAGGAAACCCGTGTTACCACAGGCTAATTGATATTAAACAAGAAGTTCCTAGAGCATCTCATCAATCATTATAACCAATCCACCTTATTCGAGAACCTGCTGAAGTAGGCTGAGACACTAGAGAAAGACAATGGGATTCAGAGGCGGAAACCTACAGTGATACAGATGGATAGAAACTTAGAGGATATACTGACTAAGATGGTGCCCTGGCTGGTGTGGCTGGTGTGACTCAGTGAATTGAGCGCTGGCCTGTGAGCAGAAAGTTTGCTGCTTGGATTCCCAGTCAGGGTACATGCCTGGGTTGCAGACCAGGTCCCCATTTGGGGGCGTGTGAGGGGCAACTGATGGATGTATCTCTCACACACTGATGTTTCTCTCCTTCTCTTTCTTCCTCCCTTCCCCTCTCTCTAAAAAGTAAATAAATGAAATTTAAAAACACAAAAACAAAAACACCAAGATGGAAATTCTAAACCAAAGCATCGGGTTGAAAAATACAAATTGGAATCTGAAGCAGATAAATGCCAAGAAGAGCTAACACGAGACAGAAATGATCCAGTCACTGCTTCTGAGCCATTTCACACACCATCTTTAGAAGGGAGTGAGAATGGAAAACCCTGCATCCTGATTGTGCAACATGGTGAGCTTGAAAGCAGTCAACTCCGGACTTGCAGCCATCTGCAAAGATCAACTAGTCAATCTCAAAGACGAATAAACAACTTTTTAAAAAGCCCTGTGGGAAAAACATGTGGCACATGAGAAGAGAAAGTGCGAGAGCCAAAAATTACTCCTTTGAAATATATTTAGTCCATGAAGCAGAATCCAGTTTTAGAAAACACCTAATTCTTTTTCTTGGTTATAAGAGGACATTGCGTCTTTTAAAAACAGGCCAAGGTAAATGGAGAGTACTATGAAATTAAAACCACAATAACCAAAGTAAAATTCATTGATCAAAGCGGTAAAATGCAGATTTGCCAAGAACAGCAAGTCAGCAAGATGGAAGATAAACAATTGAGTGATGGAATTCTTTGAAAGAGAAGAAAATGGACAGAAGAACATCATGGAGATTGAAACTATAGGCATCCCCAAAAGGAAACAGAGCAAATCAATCAGAGGCAATAATTAAAATTACAATAAAAAGAAAACTTTTTTTGGGTCTAAAAAGATGTGAGGTGGAGGTGGAACATTGAGTTCACTGGGATCCAGAAAAATTAATAATTATAGACCAAGGCATAAATTCTTGGAAAAATTCTTAAATTCCAGGGATAAAGAGAAAACACTAACATTATCCAATCAGAGAAAAATTATAAAGCTGAAAAATTTTTTTCAGCTCCCTCCTCTGTAATAATTAAATGCCGAAAGGAATATAGAACAAGATAGAACTCCAAGGGGCGAGGTTGTAATCTCAGATGGTTTCATTTCCTCCAATGCCTTAATTCTTCCCAAATTTTTCATCATGGCTCAGAATCTGTCTCCTGAACTCCATCCAGTTCAACATGTACCCCTGGACAGCTCAATGTGACATCCCACAGGAGCTTCACCTCAACATATCCAGACTGTCCACGGTTAGCTCTACATGTTCTGCACTCACACTGCCAGGGGGTTTGAATCTTGGTTGCTCTACTCACTACCTGTATGACCTTGCCTTCAGTTTCCTCATTCTTTGAATCATAAGTTTGTTGTACAGAGTAAATAAGACAACATAGGTAAAGAGCCTGGCACATAGTAAGCACCTGATATATGTTATCTGTTGTTATAACCTACCTCACCCAGAACTGTTCTTCACCTTCTATCTATGGATAGCATCTCTTTCACCCAGATACTCAAGCCAGAAGCTGGGGTATGATCCTTAACAACTTATTTTATCTCCCTACCAACCCTCCCCCACCCATCTAATCACCAACTTTTGTCAATTCTATTTCTTTAACATTTCTGAAATCGTTGCTATTCAAAACATGGCCTCCAGACCAGCAACATCAGCATTATGTGGGAGTTTGTTAGAAATGCAGCATCTTAGGCCCCACCTCAGACCCACTGAATCAGGATCTGCATTTTAACAAGATCCAGGGGGTTCTCGTTAAAATTTAAAAAGCGATATTTTAAATAAACCCACTTTATTTCCACTGTCATTCTGCTGCTTAGAGCCTGCTGCATCACTCTCTTACTTAGGCTACCACAACAGCCTTCACTGTTCTGCTTTCCGTGTTGCCTGTCTCCAATGACTTCTCCTTATTTATATGCAGTCAGTCTTTCCATAACAGGATTGACCATGTAATTCCCTTTCTTAAAGAAGTCAGTGGCTCCCAAAGCTCTCAGAAAGAGACCGTGGCTGACTCTCTCTCTACTCCACCTCCTTTTACTCTGCCCTTCCATGCTCCAGTCAGACTCGACTATTCTTAGTTCTCTTTCTGTCTTAGCACAGACCAATCTCTCTCCACCCTTGCAGCATTTGTGCACATTTTAAGGCCCCCACACTATCATGGCACGATGCACTCGACCACTGATTTTCTCCAGAGAAGTTCTCTTGCCTGGTTGCATGGGAAGTAAACAACCTTATAATTAGAGTTGGCTTCACTTGCGGTTTACTGTCAGAGAAAGTACACTGACCAGACGACGACCCTATTCAGGTCCTGCGGCAATTATTGTTCATTCTAAGATGGGCTTTAGTTATACATCAGCCTCTGCTGAGTCAGATTAGCATGAGCCAGGCCCAGAGGGAAAAATTATCTAGCCACCGTGACAATGACAAATTTCTGGAGGCACAAAGGTGAGAACTAGGCTCTGGAATGCTGAAACCAAACTAAGCCACTATAACAGAATAAGAACCGACTTGGATGTCTAGCTGGACACCGGAATGTCTTCCTTATTGTCTTTCTAGGGTGGTGACAGCTCACAAATTAATAGAATCTTAGAAAACAATGGACATCTGTTATTTTTGCCTATACAGCATTGAGTCTCCCTATCTCTGGTAGCACAGCCCAGTTTTTCATTGGTGACCTGTCTTTTCTGCACTCCTGTGAGCCTGTGACCCAGGGCTCCCCAATTAGAGTCACAGACATTAGTTTAAAGGATGGGCACGTGACCTGATCCAAGACAATGACACACAGCTCAGACTTTTTAAGAAACGATTGGGGACAGGGGTGCTCCCTTTCTGGGGGGGTGCTAGGGCAGTGATTCTGAGTCTGGAGCCAAACATACCATGATGTGAGAAATAGCCTCTGAGATTGAAGATGATACAGGAAAAACAAAGTCCAGATTTGGAGATAATTTTCTGATGACACAGTTTCAGACTATATTCAGCTGAGCCTGAAATTCACAGGCTCAGCTGAATATATTATTATTATTTTTACTGAAGTCAACTTGACTTAGTTTTCTGTCATTTGAAACCACAGAGTTTCTGACTAATACATACCCAATTAACTCGCTTTTCTGCAAAAATTGCTCAGAACTGTACAATAAATCACCAAGACATGAATCAGAAACTCATGAATGATGAAATGAGAGGAAAGAACTGGCAATGAGCCTTGAAACTAGCTAAAGATAGAGAGATAACTGAATAAAAACTCCACTCAGTATAGACTGTTTGATGCTGATAGGTTGAAATAATTGTTGCTATGGTAACAAATAAAATGCAAAAGAAAATTTGAGAAAGTAGATTTTTTTTAAATAGCAGGGTTTTTAACCTTAGATTAATGCAATGAAAACCAGAGAGGGAGGAAGGAGGTAGTTTTTAAAAGCAAGGCATACTAAGTCTTATTTTGCATAAAATAAAGATAAAAGTTTTTTAATAATATAATTTTATATGGATTTTTAGTTTAAAACATTTTTTGCGGCTTAAAAAATCTCTATATCTACCTTATAGATTATGACAAAAGATAAAGGGGAAAATGCAGTTCATATAGCAAAAGTCAAGTCCTATACCAAGAAATGTACTAGGCACTTTCCTCATAGTATAAATAGAAAACAAATGGCAACGAATCATAAAAACAGTATCAAACCACTAAAATATTAGATGATGGAAAGTTAGACTAGGTGTAACAAATAAGGCAAATGTAAATAAGAAACTGTAAATAACTAAATTCCCATATAAAAACATGAAAATATCAGGTCAAAGGGCCAACTCTGGAGATCTATTCTTGTTAAAAAAAGATGTGATGCAAAAAAAATCATATGTATCAAGTAACATAGCGACACAAAACAGTGAACAAAAATCTTTTTTTTTTTTTAGAGAGGGAAGGGAGGGAGATAGAGAGAGAAAGAGAAACATCA